AAGACCTTATCCCTTACATACTGTAAAAAAACTGTCGAGAGAATGAACAATTAAGAAGATTTTTTACTTATAAAGATTACTGCTCAATGCCCCATCGCTACTACTTCACATTACTCCCACTTGCATAATTATTCAGATGTTAAAACTATCATAACAGAGAGGCATAAACTCGTAATGAGTTGAATTGCTGATTAAGTAAGTAAGTAAGTAAAACTATCAACTCGTTCGGTTCCGAACATCTCCTCAACTTACTTTGGTACTGGCCCTTTTGCGTCACCATAGATCGTCTCAAGTGTATCCTTCCAGAACTGCAACCGATAAATTCCGGCTGTACCTGAGTTACGCTCAATCTGATCTCTGATCACCGCCAACTCGACATTCAAAGCCAAAAGCTGAAGAAAAAAAACAACCGACATCATTCTATAGAACCGAGTACTAATTCCGATACAAATGAGATGTTAAACAAGTCAAGCAAAATCAAATCAATTTTGCTCCAATTTTCTTCACAATTCCACTTCAAAGCAGTCCCGCAAAAAAAAATTCCCAGAGACTGAATAAAAATACGCATCGTCAAAACTGACCGCAAATACGGCTGGCTGTACTTCGGCCGGCATCAGCAGTGTACCAAGGTAATTGGCAAAGTCACGTTTCCGCGTCAATGCCACACAATGATCAAGGGCAGCTTTTCGGGCCTGAACACAGCGTTCCATTGACATTGAATCAGGTTTCGCTTATTCACAAACGAAAAATACTCAAGGCTCAAGAAAAACAAATGCAACATCTAATGCAAGCGGCGAGAAACGTTCAAATTTAACCCCCACCTAATTCTTTGTACTCTCTCCCTTCGCATTTAAAGTAAAGCAGTAAAGAATATCCACAAAGGACGATGAAACTGCCCAGCCTTGGCTACTGGATCGACTTAGGAATCGCCGAGCCGAATCAAGATCTACTGGTTCGGCACTTATTACACTTATATTCCCAGTTTCACCCGTCCAGGCAATCCTTAACCAGGTCCGGTGACCCACAATTCCATACTCCTCATCAACAATTCATTCTTTCAATTAATCAGCCAATTAATGGAATATCAATCAATGTAAAAATTCATTGCTGACCTTAGCGTCAACGGGACGTCGACGCCTTCTGATGGGTTTTTCTTGATTTCGTTCGATAGACGAAGACAGCGTCTTCCGAGTTTCATGAACATCACCACAACAAGATGAAGTGTCAGAGGAATGAGAGGCTTGATTGGGATGAATTGGAATCTCAGAATCGCGATCAGATTTTCGTTGTGCTTGTGGCTGATCAGGATGCGCGGAGCTACAGAATAGTCGCTTTGACACTGATATTACGGTCGATGAGGAAGGAGGTGATAGAAAGTATTGAGATAAGGCTATCAAATTGACGGCTTTTTTGGAAGGAATTGATGAGATGAGACACTGACGTGCTCTTTGGGATATTGTCACAACAGACGCTGATGACGAATAACAACGATAACAACAACATGCACAAAAACATTGATTAAAAGAATTGTAACAATGACAACAAGGATGAATATTCAACGATTTAAATGGGCATAACAATGAATGTCTCATACTACAACTATTACTGCGATCAAAGTCATTAGCAGTACTAAATGGTGATAACAGATTATTATTAGGATCAAGATAGGAGGACGGAGGACGATGGAAGCTCATGAAATCTCTTCTGCTCTCCACGGTCATTCCTCGTATTCTGTGACCTTTGATGAGGTGTCCATCAATGACGAACCTGATGTAGAGGGTACCTTCAAAAGAATATTCTCATTAAAAATGCAAATACCAATTAGCATTTTTATGTTTGGAACGAAACTCATCAAAACGGTGATATAATTTTATGCAAACATTTAAGCAGAGAATAATTATTCAAAGGTTTTCTGGGCAGAATAATTTCAGTTGAAACCTGAAGTGGAGAATCGTCGTAACATTGTTTGCGAAGAGCGTTGAAGGTTGGCGAGAGTGCCTTGGCACGATGCTCGAACGTGTAGAATGAGGGACAATTCGCGACAGTGTCCCATGATTTTGTACGATTCTAAAATTAAAGGAAACACCGAATGAGGATGAAAACACGGAAACGACATTCATCAATATCCCAGAACTGATATCATTACTGAATTCAACAACCATCAGACTGACAGTCGAATGACCATGAGGCAAAACTGGTAAATCGATTTCAACTGAAGCGAATCTTTATCAAATCGTCTAAAAGAAGCTCACAGTAGAAGTCATTTACTTACTTGAATATCAGATCGAATCGGCAGGAAATCACCAGCAATATATGAAGCACCGTAAATTAGCACCAGAAGGCTGACCAACGTTTGTATCACCAAATCAGTAGGTAGTTGAGTGAACGGTTGTTCAGTTAGACGAAGGTAGAAGCGATGCTGAAAAACGCTGGAATTGCAAAAACTTCTAAAAGTTTCAACAAATGACTACATATTCAGAGAAGATCATCTGCAAAATCATACCAAAAATCATCATAAGCAAACAATCTCGACAACGCAAGTCTTATTAGAATTCGATTGCCGAATGAAAGGAAACGCCAAAAATCATGTTGAAAATTTTGTCTTGTTAAAAAACTTTTGTAAAATGCGAAATTCGAAGTCACCAACTGATATTTCAAAAGTTAAACGATTGAGAATCAAGAAAGTTATCACCTGAGCTGCAGAATAAGCACTGTGCAGAAGTGATAAGAGCGCAACAAATGTAACAACACGTAGCAATGATGACATATTCGAGCCGAAACAATCGAACAAAGTGCGGCGAAAAAACGCGAAGAGAGCGATCGGTGGCTGACAGCTCTCCGTTCACTTGTTTTACTCGATTGGCTGAAGACGATCAAATTTCGCTTCTTTTATTTCAAACGCATCAATCAGCTGTAATATTCAAAAATAAGAAATACACATCTAAATGAAAAGGTTTAGCTGTTCGATCGATCGACGACGAGAAAAAAGCTGAAGACAACACTTGAATTATTCCGTATTTTTACAACAGTAAGCAACAATCAATTCAAATCAACATCAATCATATTCACGAATTACTTTATACTAGTGATGGCATCCGAGCAAAATTTCACGTTTCAATACTTCGACAGTCGGAATTCCGATAGATTGTCG